TGGCTCGCTCGTGTTCGGCTCGTTTACACCCCTACATGTGACATTCTGATGAGAAGAGAAATATGTTTCTCATACACACATACTGTGAAATGATTCATAGAAAAAAAAAGAATGAGACAGTTATGTGAGCAATGTTTATTTTTTTTTTCTTGGCATCACAACTAGTTGCCAACATTTATACTTTTATTCTCAGTCATTGAAATTTACTAGCGGCATCACAGCTAGTAGCAAATATGCATAACACCATTCCATACAACGACACTGACTTCCGTAGAGTCGACGAGGTTCGGGAGCATGTACCCCCAGAAATGATATGAGTACCACCTTGGGCATTCACTGTCACGAGCGGAGAATGATGCATCCACTATCTGTTCTAAAGTGTGGGAAGGTGCAAACGAAATGACTGAGCTGAGGAAACATATTACTGATGCGTTAGCTGGAGAGTGATTGGATTTGTTTTTGTAAATTATTCAACATTATATGTAATTAATTTCTTTTGAAAAAAACATTTATAGCATTAATGTTTGGTATCGAGCATTCAGATCTAGATTTAGTTTATTCAGAGCCACCTGTACTTTAATGCTGGTTTGAAAATCTTATGCTATTTCAAAAAAAAAAATTCAATTATTTCTTTTAGCAAATTCAATTCATGTCATCACTAATGATTTGTATTGTAGGAATCAAGAAAAATAAGCTCAAGAGTTTCAGAGACATCCTAATGATTGCTCTGCCACTGCGGATTGTATACTACCATACTGACATCACGTCAAGCTCACAATTACGAGAGACAATTATACAGGTGCTCTAGGAGCATGATTGAGCAGTGTGACTTCTTCCGGCAGGCAGACAGTTCGTCGAATTCCAGTGCATGTGGTGATCAGGATTGGATAGTGTCACTGGAGGATGTTGTGGCACGAAACATACACAACCTGCATGCTAAAAACAATTTAATCATTCTAGTAAATGTAATTTTAATATTTCTTGACTTTTATCTTGCACTCTTGGTATTAACTGTTAAGTGAGTTGTGTATTTGAATTTTTTTACTGTTTTGGCCTGAATTTAAATTCTGTTACAAATAAATTTACTAAACTGAGTCAAAATGATCATTTTTCCAGAAATAACTGTTCCGCAGCTAATTTCGCACAATTACAACAAACAGATAACCCATTTTTCCACAATAATTTCCCCACATTATATTCTAGGGACTGGGTAGCTACAACTATCACAAAGAGGCCTGGTTTTTGGAGAATGTACTCATTTGCACCACCGTCAGCATGTGCTTGATTCTAAAGTTAGAATGCAGCGCTTCCGATGGGATCTGTTAGCGAGCCGTTCTCCTGCATAAAAAATTCGAGTTGGTCGTTCTCTGCCTCTTTTCCCCTCCGACTGCCCTCTTTTCTTTCAATTTCCAGGAAGAAAAAAAAAAACAAAATATCTCCAGCCTCACTCATGTCAACCTTCCCGTTTTAGTTAAACCACTCGTTTGTTTTGTTAGTTCTTTCATCACCGGATCCAGAGTCCAAATTTCACCTTTTTGAGTGGGAGAGAGAGAGAGAGAGAGAGAGAGAGATGGAAGGGCTTATCAAGGGCTTGGCGGAAGTGGCTCTAGGTTTTGTTGGAGGAGATCGCGAGGACATCCCAGAGCGCCAAGCGAACCAGGAAGGCGAAGAGCGATCTAGATCCACTTGGGCTGAGGTCTTTTAATCTTCCTCCTTAGTTTTCTTCTTCTTACTGGTTAAACTGATCATGGAGATGGGATCTAGGTGGTTTCCACCGGAAAGCACGAATATCACGAGCAGGAGCATGGAAGTAGCTATGGCCACCCTTCTAACGATCGCCGAGCAAGAAAGGTCTGACCTTTTTATTGAAATCTATGGGAATAAGCTTGTGCAAAGCTATACATGTTTTGTTTAATTATTAGCATTAAATATTATATTTGATTCCATGAACCAGGATGAGGAAGCTGAACAGGAAAGCAGTCCAGGGCATAGTACTTCTTGGGGTTCAAGAAAGGTTTTTACTTTTGATTTCCAAAGCCGAGATTTTTGTTGTATGATTCAATTCTGAATGCTGGGTTTTTTTTTTTCCTTTGGATGAGCCAGAAAAATGAGGATCTGGTTCATGAGGATGAGAAGAAGAAAGATGTGGATTGGGAAGTTGTTGGTCAGCGTTCTCACAACAAGAAGCGACACCCTTCAGTTCTGCATGAGGTTTCTATTCTTTCTCTTGATGTTCCGATATATGCTTTTTTATTTTTTCCATATAGCTCAAAATGAAAGATTAACAGTCACTAATATTAGTGGTAATTGGTTAGATGTTATGAGTTGTTAAGGATATGGATACCTTGCAGCCGTGTCATTTATTTTATTTACTAAGCAGAAGCGGTTCTCTTGATATTGCATTTTATAGCAGAGCTATGTATTTACTTGCTCTGTTGGCATTATTAAGAATGGAGAGTCAGAAGGATTTGATTGATTTAAAATATAAAATTTATATTGCAGTATCTGAGATTAATTGGCACAGACCCTCCACAGGTCTCACACTGAGTTTAAGACCTTGAGCTTTCTGTCAAAGATTATGTAAAAATGATTTTCCTATTAAGTTCATAGCTCATAATATTGGATTTCTGCTTTACAAAAATGTGAATTTTCCTTTGTTTTTTGCTTGGATTTCTGCTTCATTTGCAGGTTCCCAAGGAAAATTGGCAAATGTTCAAGCTGCCTCCTAGTGATCAAACCTACAATAATGCAGTACACTATGACGCTGACACTCAACCATCAAGAAGAGAGCTATCCAACTTGTCTGAAGCCTGTAATAAGCTATGGGAACTCGATTTAAACCGATTGATTCCCGGAAAGGATTACAAAATTGATTGTGGCGAGGGGAAAAGAGCTTACCAGAAGGGTGATATGGCATCAGGAAGCTTGTTCAAGTGGCTGGGTGATGACGTGCTTCGTCGTCCTACTTATGCTCGGTTCTGCTCTCTTTTGGATAACTACAATCCTCAAGAAGGATATAAAGAAGTCGTAACTCCCGAAGAGAGGCACGAACAGGCTGCATTTATTCAGGAGATAGGCAGGTCACCACTAATTAAATATCTCTATAATTATCTTGTTGGGAATGGTGTTGTATCTGGTAGTTTTGAAGAGTTCAAGGAAATCCTGACACATCTATGGTTTGATCTTTATTCGAGAGGCGGTGGATATGGTTCGTCTTCTGCTTTTGAACATGTTTTTGTTGGGGAAATCAAGGGTCGGGGAGAAAATGCCGTCTCGGGTTTTCACAACTGGATTCAGGTAATATTTTGATGGTAATATTGTTCTATGAAGTTTTACTAAAGTTAGTGCAGTTAACATAGTAATTTGAGAGGATCCATGTCCTTTACTTGGTGAAGGTGGACAAAATTAAATTGTGAGAAGTTAAACTTTTATAGTTTTGAACATTGATGCAAAGATTTTTATCTATTGAAGCACCAATCTCACCTTCTAAAACCGTATTCTTTCTCTAAATTTATATTCATTTTATGGTCGACCGTTAGAACTACTTAATGTTTGCCAAAGTTTAAATGGATTTGCTTTGGAACTTACCTATGCAGTTTTATCTGGAGGAAGCGAAAGGAAATGTTGACTACCAAGGTTATATTTTTTCCAGGAGTTACGGAGAGCATGTAAGCATTTTTAATTTTTACATGACAATCTAGGCAAAGTAACATTCATCATTTCAATATTATAAGAAGCGTTTAGAATAAAATTTGATTTATCTATGAAACCGGTTAATATGATGAGGCATGATTAATTGTCTAAAATAACGATGCAGTATTAAAAAGTAACCAACAATTTTGGTGTAAGCTACAGAATTTTCTATTTGCTGGGTAACTCATGGTGCTATTTGACAGCGTTGTTTCTTCAGCATACTTTTTTTGTGAAAATCCAACTTTCTTTGTCCTAGCGTTACTGCTTTGTTTTCTTATGCCCTCTTGTTAGTGGTTATCTGAAGAAGCTGTGGAATTTTGGGATGACTGAAATTGCTTAACCCCCAGACTACATTTGTTGTTATCTTGATGTGTTGAACTGCCTTATGTTATTCTCGGTAAAATTTTGGAAAATTTCTAGAACTTTCCTTGGTCTTCTATATTTATCCGTTCTTATAACTTTTAAAGAACACTTGGTGGGAAAGGTTTTATTTTATAAATGCTACATATTAATAAGAAAAACTAATACAAGGATTATTATAGTTGCCCACCTAGAACAATCTTCACCAAACTTTATAAATAGTTTGGAACTTTTATTTTAATTTGAATTTTGGTGTTAACATCCATTTTTAGTTCTGTTTATAAAGAATAGGCAAGTAAGAGTGTGAATCAAGCATTGCAATAATAACATTGTTGGTAAAATTAATCTATTAAATACAACTGATGTACTAAACGTGTAATGTTATGCATTTCATGTTCTGATAATCCGTCATAAATGCTTCATTTTGACTATGTTGTGTGCTAGAAAATACTCAACATTAGAAAAATCTTATGCCTTAACTTAGTATAATTTTCCATCACATAGATAAAGATGTAAGAGACAACTGGATTTTTTATGTCGAAATATCCTGAACAGGAGAAAAATCACGGGGCCTAATATAATAAAATTAATCCACCAGAAAATTGGTAGTTCAGATATTCACTCTTCTCCTAAATTAAGAAGTGGGAGATTATAAAATTATGTTGAAATTATAACTACCTTAAAATAACCCTATAAATACAAATATATAGGGGCAGTTGGGACTATAAGAACTATAATTGGGGGCTACCACAACCACAATTGACTACAAAAGCTGTATTTTGATGCTATAACTGGCATAGTTGGCTGCATAAGGCGTACTTAGAGGCTATAACAGCCATAGTTGGTTGGAGAAGTTATAGTTGGTGGCTATAACATTCTTAGTTGGCTGTAGAAGCCGTACTTGGTGGCTATAACAGCTGTAGTTGGCTTCAAAAATTGTTGGTAGTGGTCAACAACGACTGGTTATTGACGACGACCTCTCATGGTTGGCGATGATATCTGATGATCGGCGGTGGTCTTTAGTGATCAACAAAAAACTCTATTGGTTTGTTGTGATTTTGGTAACTGATGATAAGCATAAGGAATTCAAGATTTAAGCTTGAAGAATGAAGATCTATATATAATTTTTGAGAGAGCATTTTGATAAATTTGACCGATCTTCTAAAATACTCCATCAGATGATCCATTTTAATTTCTTTAATCATAGGCAGTTATTTCAACATCTAAGTTTTTTAGCGACCTCAAAATTCGATGACCTTGAACTCATTGGATTCCTCTTATCGAGTTCCTCAATTTGACTACATTAGACCAACTTTAGATATTACTTAATCTTCCAATTGATTTAAGCTTTAACAGTTAGTTTATTCTCATATTCTCATGACATCTTCAAGTAAAGAATGAGGGTTAATATATAATTTTTGAGAGAGCATTTTAATAAATTTGGCCAATCTTCCAAAATACACCATCAGATAATTCACATTAATTTCCTTAAACTTAGGTAGTTATTTCAACATTTAAGTATTTTAACGACCTCAAAATTAGATGATTTTGAGCTTAATGGATTTTTCTTATCGAATCGCTCGCTTTAACGATTAGTTTATTCTCATATTCTCACCACATCTTCAAGTAAAGAATGAGGGTTTATATTTAATTTTAGAGAGAGCATTTTAATAAATTTGGCCAATCTCCCAAAATACGCCATCAGATAATTCACATTAATTTCCTTAAACTTAGGTAGTTATTTCAACATTTAAGTATTTTAACGACCTCAAAATTAGATGATTTTGAGCTCAATGGCTTTTTCTTATCGAATCGCTCGATTTAACTATAGTCAGACCAAATTTAGATATTACTTAGTCTTCCAATTGATAAACTAAAACCTTTGACTGCATTTTAAGTGTTTGATCTGGGCTCATTGTGGTTCAAATTGGATCACTTTTAATATTATTGGGTTCGCTTTTCCGAGAAACTCAGTTAGACTATAAACTTGTTAAAATTGGTTCGTAGCTAATCTTGAATTTAAATTTACCATATTCTAGCTCAAAATGCATTGACATTCGCGTTTGATGATTAAAAATTTGTTGATGACACTTCAATTGTACCGAAAAGGAGAAAATTTAAAAAAATCAGACAAATATAAAAAATTTCAATTTTTTGCACTATTTGCAGACACATGCTGGCATGCGGTAGCTAGTAGTGCAATTTGTATGCATGCACTCCTCTTGTGCTTGTGTGCACCCATTGGATTCATTTATTGTGTGTGCGAGAGCTGCCTTGTTTGTCCGCGCATCAAGCTCTTCTACTCGTGCTATTGGCGAGCAGCCACACTCATCGTCGTTGTCGCTAGAGACAACGGTCCAACTCATTTTTGGCATCTTTAGGTCTTCGATATCATTTTTCAGCATTCTCATCTCAAATTTAGCACTTTTAATGAATATTTAGAAGATTTACTTGGTTCGTGACCCCAAGAGAATCTAGTCGCTGATGCCCTCTTTAATATTACTATTTTACGTCACTTATTTTTCTAGTAACTTGAAAAATATTTTTAATTTTCTTGGCATCGACAACTGAAATAGGGGGCAACCGATATATTTTAAAAAAATTATCTTGATCAGACACGAATCTCAATGCACATTGGGGCCATAAGCTCCGAATATTGAATTAAGAATTATTTAAACTTCAATTTGAATAAATTTGTGGTTAGATGTAACAAATGATATTAAATCCAATTTGATGCCAAGTGAGCCCAGATCATGAACTTAAAGCGTTATAATCGGCTTTAGGACATTTTGAGGGGACTAAATAATCTTCAAATCTGACATATTTATAGTCAAATCTAACAACTCGATGAGGTGAATCAAATGAGCGGAAGATCGTTTAATTATGACATTATTAAGATATTCAAATACTCATAAAGTATTATCTGGTCATGAGAATTAATCCGAGTCTTTCGATGGAATGGACTAGATTCAAGCTTTATTTACAAAGGATTATACCTTCAAAATCTATAGATAGACCTCAATTCTCTTCATGAAAAGGGGGCTAGATCGAGATCTCAAAATTAAAGAAAGCTCCAAGCTCTTAAGGATTCTCGAGCTCCACTATTGTCGGATCACCGCCACCAGGCCACTGTCATGTTGAACCACCGCTGTCGGACGACTATTGCGGACCACTGTTGTTGTGCCAGACCATCGTTGTCAGGTCATTGACCATTTTTTCGACTGCTTGATCATGATTGCTCCGCTCGTGCCTGGCCATCAACACTTTTATCAGACCAACACCATCGACATTATCAGACCATCACAACTATCATTGGACCCCTCATTGGTGTCTAGCTAACGTTGCAGTACACCGCTTTCGTTATTATCTCCGCCTGTTGTCGCACCAAACCACTTTCATAGGGTCGTCGTTGCCATCAGACCACCATTAACATGTCAAAACTGGTCCGCCGCCATGAAAACATTGTTGTCTAGCTAACATCGTTAGATTGTCATCATTTAGCCACCACTGCTGCCATCATGGTACATCATTTTTGTCGAACCATTGTCTTCTAACCAACGACGTTGCTATTGCCACCATTGCCTAACCATCAACGTCATCAAACGATTATTGCCTAGTTGACATCATCAGATTGTTGTCATTTGACCACCACTTTCATAACCGCCATACATCATTGTCGTCGGACCACCATCACCTCGCTAACGACGCTGCTCTTGCCACCATGGTGTGACTGCAACTGCCATCAAAACACTGTCGCCCAACCAACACTGGTGCATAGCCGTTTTCATTGGACCACATTTGTTGTGCTTCCTTTGCCACCACAGGCATAGTTTCCAGACCATTGCTGCCATCTTCAGATCACCATCTCTCTGCCTCTGTTGTTGCTAGACCACCATCGCTTGTTTTTTATCAGACCATAGTCTTATTGCTAAAGCCGGTGCTGCCACTATTGTCGCTTGGACGTTGTCACCACCACCATTTCTTGGCCTCTGTTGCTGCCACCGTTACTTGGCCTCCATCATTGCTTCGCTGCTGCCGCAACTGCAGTCGATCCAACATCAGTCATTTTCATCGTTTGACTTTTGTCGTTGAACCAACACCTTTGGATCACTGTAATCTGTCTATCACTACAACTGCCATCAGACCATTATTATTTAGTTACCATCACTGTTGGTGACGCTGAATTCAGATCTTTACCACATAGCCCTGTCATCTCTCTTACATCGTCCCAGTCAGATCGTTGTTAGTTCCCCAATATTTTTTATAACTTCCTTAGTGAAAATTAAGTCGATTTCTCTCACTAATATTAATTTCTATTGTTCATGGGCAAGCAAAATTTTACAATGTACATTTGAATGGTTGAAACTTTCAACTGGGCTAAGCCCCATATTTTATTCTCTTCCAAATTTTTCATGTAAAAACTCGCGTCTCTTCTATTAGCACTTTTATTATATTTTAGTATAATGCTAAAATGCTAATATATCTCTATCGTCGTGAATTCTCCGACACAATGTATTTCATTTTCATACACTTTGCTGGTAAAAGAGATTCTTACACGTATTAGTACAATAAAAGCTATTCACAACAACATGACAACAAGCCTTTATCCCGCTAATTTGGGTTGGCTACAAGAGATTTTTTTTTTTTTTTTTTCATTGTGCCCTATTGAGTGTCATATTTTCATTTTATTCTAATGAATTAAGATAATTTTTTATACAATATGTCCATATCTTTTTAGGTCTACATATGCCTTTCTTAGCATAATTCGAATCTAAAATATCTACTTTCCTAAATGGATCGACAAATGGTTGTCATTTAATATTACCAAATCATCTAAGAAGACTTCCTCTAATCTTGTCTGCCACTGGAACTGAATTAACCATTTCACAGATACATTCTTTTCGCATTGTCTCTAAGTGTCAAGCCACTCATCCACCTAAGCATTCTCATCTCAGTAACACTTAAATTAGTTTTATGTTTTTCTTTTAAAGACCAACATTCTGCACTATAAAGAATTTTACTTGTCTCACCATCATCTTATAAAATTTCACTTTTAAGTCTAAAGAGTACTTTTCTATCACACATGATGTTTGATGCATTCCTCCATTTCAACAAACCAACTTGAATTCTACTAATAACATCCCAATCCATACCACCATTACTTTGAACAATAGACTCAAGATATCTAAACGTTCACACCCTTTAATGATTTGATAACCCATTTTTTCAACTCTACGACTAGATATACTACTATTAAAATTACATTCCATGTATTCAGTTTTAGATCTACTCAAACGAAGGCCTTTAGACTCTAATTTAGACCTCTATAATTCAAGTTTTTCCTAAACTCTTTCTCTAGTTTTATCCACAAGAAGGATATCATCAACAAAAAACATACATCAAGGTACATTCTCTTAAATGTTTAGAATGAGCATCCATAACTAAAATAAAAAGATATGAGCTTAAAGCAATCTGTGATGTAATCCAAATGAAATAGGAAAATACTTGGTCAATCCTCATTTTGCTCGAACACAATAACAACTCTAGTGTACATATCTTTAATTACTTAAATATAAGTCATATCAACACATTTCTTTTCTAGAATTCTCCAAGAACTTCTCTTGGAACCTTATCATAAGCTTTTTGTAAATCAATAAAAATCAGGTTTAGATCCTTCTTACTCTCTTTATACGTCTCTATCAAACCTCTCAATAAATGTATAGCTTCCATAGTAGACTTGCCCGACATAAATCCAAACTGATCATGAGAAACCATTGTATCAGGTCTTAACCTATGCTCAATTACTTTGTCCCATAATTTTATTGTATGACACATTAACTTAATTCCTCTATGATTTGCACACCTTTACACATCCACTTTATTTTTAAAAATGGGGACCTAAATACACTTTCTACACTGTTCGGGCATCTTTTTAATTTTTAAAATAGTATTAAAAACCTTAGTAAGCCAAGAAACTCTCATATCTCATAAATATTTCCACACTTCAATTGAAATATCATCAAGTCCTATTGATTTTCCACACTAGGTTTTTTTAAAGCCTCATCAACTTTCTTTTTACTAATACTACGATAAAAAAAAAAAGTTTTTTTATTATTAACGATATTAAGATCACTGAGATCGAATTTATTTTTCAGAAATTTCTGTGAAAAGTTTTTCAAAATAATTCACCCACCTATGTTGAGTATTTTCCTCTAAGCAAATTACTTTTATTTTTAATACAATTTTTTTGAATTAAATCTTTCTTTTTCTTTTCTTTTTGTTTGGTTAGTTTATACGTATATTTTTCTCTCTCTTTAGGATCTAATATTATATAAAGATCACTAAAAACAAAATTTTTAGCATGTCATTCTTGTAGACTCTCTATGAACAACCTATATTTTTTCTAGTTCTCTAAGCTTTTACATTAAAACTATTTTTCTATAAAAAAGTTTTTATATTTTATCTTTTCTTCCACATTATTATTCCACCAATTATTTTTATTTATAAAAACATTTCTTTTTGATTCTCCAAGTACATCTTTTGTCAGTTTTTTAATAATGTTTTTTATTTTATCCCGCATAGAATTAACTTCTTCATGAATATCCCAAATCTTGACATTTTGAAGTTTATTCATAAGAATACTTTATTTACCTTTTAGGTATCTCAATCTAATTATATGACAATGTTTCATCTTATATTTTTTTTATCCAACTCATCGTCTTAAAATTTAGAACTAATAATCAATGTTGAATACTTAAATTTTCACGTGAAATATTCTTATAATCTTTACATTATTTATGAACTCATTTCCTCTTGAGAAAATATTCAATTTGTGTTTTATTAGATCCATTCTTATTAGTTATGATATGTTCGATCTCTTTTTTTAAATGAAGTATTAACAATAATAAAATCATAAGCTAAAGCAAAATCTAAAATCTTTCTACTTTCCTCTTTAATCACTCAAAAATCATAGCCACCATGAATATTTCTAAAATTTCTATCACTCTACTAACATGTCCATTTAAATCTCCTTTAATAAATTTTTTATCTTCAAGAAATATCATTTGTATTAATTCTTCTAGGTCATTCTAATTTTTTTTATAACTTATATCTAAATTTACTTGAAAAGAACCAACACTTATAATATTAAAAATTTCAGTATCAACAATAATCTTTATGACTATAATTCTATCCCCAATTCTATTAATTTTTATAAAATTATCTTTCAAACATTTATCTATAATTACACTAACATCGTTTTTAGTGTGACTCCTATCTGACTGCCAAAGTTTAAAACCTAAGTTATCAATTTCTTTAGTATTTGCTCCAGCAAATTTAGTTTCTTGAGTGCATAAAATATTTCTCTCTATGAATCATAATATCTACTAATTTCATTAATTTATCTTTGAGAGCACCTATATTCCAATATTTTATTCTAATATTAGTTTTATTCTTTGTCCGCATTCGTCCATATTGTGAGAACTTTTGCTTATTTGACGTTATACCCTGGTGTTGGTATAGCGGCCTTTGCATACTTTTCATTGTATTCAGGTCATACAACACATTGCTTCTAGTGTAAATGAGTTGGTTGTCGACTACCTAACACAACCCTTCACTTTTCACATCCGGGGCTTGAGACCCGACAATGACAGTGTTAAAAACAGAAGCTATTCAAAGGAAATAAAAAATCTTTTTATTAGATAAAATGGAAGGTAAGTAAAAGTTTGGCCCTCCAAAAAAATTTCAATTATTTTTTGCCGCTCGCCAATTTTTTTCCTTCTATTTCACCGTTTAAAAAAAAAAAAAAAGAGTTAATTGAGGGTTATGCTGAAAGTATTTATTTTATGTCCCCAATTTAATTTATGTAGCATTTTTCTTGGAGTTGGGCTTCGGGGTGTAAAAGCGTTGGCCCGAAAAGAGTTGGCCCGATCTTGAATGATGCTCAACTTAAGCTAGGCTTATTTGTCAAAATACATGCTTGTGCTTGAGTCGAGCTCAAATGATGAGCTTGAGCTTGAGCTCGGCTTGCAGTATTAAATTCAAGCTTGCAAACTTGAATGAACTTGAATGAACTTGCTACGTGAGCTCATTGGAGAAGCCATCAAAGTGATTGATGGCGGGAGAGAAGTGACCTGACTACCCACTAGAAGACACTGACGTGATTGAAATCCAGCTAGTTGAGTTGGCTGGCGCACAAGCTCGAGCTCAAGTTTATGGCTCGATAAGCTCCACTCTTGAGCTTGTTAACAAAGGCAAGCTAGACCAGAGAAGTGACCTTTCAACTCACTAAACTGGCCCTCTGTATTCATTCTGATGTGGTGAAGAGGTCCACATTGCTGCAAACAAAACCAAAGAATCCTCTCCGAAGCTATCCATCTTTTAATTTTTATAATTTAAACAACTTATCCATCTACTTATATTTCTGCTTTCTTATATTCAAAATTTGATATCTATCTAAAATATTTTTCACTTTTTTTATGAAAAATGCAGCCAGACTCAGAAACTCAGCTGCTAACCATTCAATTCGAGTGGAATGGGGTCCTGAAGTCTGTATCCAGCACTCTGGTTGGTGTTAGTCCGGAGTTTGAAGTGGCTCTCTACACTCTTTGCTTCTTTGTTGGCAGAGAAGACAACCACGTTCGTTTGGGTCCTTACTCTGTCAACATTAAATGCTATCATTTAGGCCGGGACAAGATTGGCTCTGCCTTTCCAATAGCTGAATGTTGAATCTGAGCTCTGCCAAGATTGAGTCATATCTTTGTTGAGGTTTTTTGTTTGTTGTTGTTATGTATTATTTGCTGTGATAATTATCTGACTGTTTTTTATTGAGTGAAGCATAGTAATTCAAAGTCCATGTTACGGTGCACATGAAATCTATTCCTATTTCATGATTTGTTCCTTCTTTTGCGTAGTAAAATTTAGCATGCTGGAAGTTTAAATTCTTCAATACAAATGTCAGATTGAGGTTACTTCTGTTATATTCTGCTATTAATTAAAAAAGGGAAATTTACAAACTGACACACAATTCTCATGGATTTACGTATTTAACCTCTAAAATTTGATATTTACGTTGGTAATACCTATGCATAAAAAAAGTTGCATTTGACTTTTAAGAAGTATATTTTTGCATGAAGTTAACAATTCAAGTGTTATGAATGTAATACTAAAATTTAAGTGATAGATATATGTAAATATATAAGAATATGCCCGCTTTGATGACATTTTTGAGAGATTCAAAGAGTAATTAGTAAAAGCTTCATTTTCCTTATCTCCAATTCTAGCTTCACCTTTTTACCGCAAAGTTGAAGAACTTCAAGATTCATCTAGACTCATCATGGCAGCCTCATTGTTAGAAAAATTATTGGCCTAGCTTGAATAAGGGAGATTAAAGGCCCGTTTAGGGCAGCTTATTTGGTGCGGCGGCGTTTTGAAAACGCACCTGGTCTGTTTGGGTATACTGCGTTTTAGCAGCTTATGCATTTTGAAAATGCTGAAAACAGCGTTTTCACACCGCACCTATCTAGGTGCCTATCTAGGTGCGGTGATAGCCGGTGATAGCTTTCTGACAGCGGTATGACTTTTTCAAATAAATAAAAATTTGTAATAGTCACCGCACCTAGCTTATCTGGTGTTTACTCTTAATCAATTTATCAGTGTATTATGCAATAAGCTGCAGCTGCCTCAAACAGACCCTAAATTTAAAATAATATTTCTAGAAGAAAGTTGAGTATTAAGAGATCTTTTATGACAATGACCTAAATTAAGAGGATTTCAAATCTAAATAATTCATTCTAATCGGATTGTCAGCTGAGCAAAAATTAATACCTTTTGTTATCTTGCTTTGTTTGGTATTTCTAAATATATTAACATAAAAACTAAATCTACATTCAATTATCTAGAAGGTGATTCATTTGATCAAGTCATTTTTTTTTTATATTTAAGTGTTTTAACAACATAGAGTTAAATGATCTTGAGCTCATTGGATTTCTCTGGTCAAGCTACTCCATTTGATTGTAAGAATGCCAAATTTGAAGATTATTTGAAATTCCTACTAAAACATCAAAAAAATTGATTATACTTTAAAAATGTTTGATTTGGGCTTATTTAGACTCGAATTGAATTACTTTCAGTGTCATTAAACTTGTAATTTTAAGATAATCGGTTTAAGTGTAATTTTATTGAAATCGGAGTTTAGATGATCCTGAATTTGAACTTGAGACCCCTTGCCCAAAATGCGTTGAGATTTGTGTTTGGTTATATAAAGTTTTAAGGAACATATCAAAAATAAAATTAATAATTTGGGATTTATTCTGATAAAATTTTAAACGAAAGATCCTCGTTTAAGTTTTTTAAGATTATAAATGCATGCAACCTAATTAAAAAAATTATTTAAGAAAAGGAGCGGCATTTACGTACATGCCACCGAATTTGGATGTATTTACATTTTAGCACCCAAACTTAGCTTTTTACATTTATAACACCCAAATCTTTCGTATCACCTCAAAACTCCATCATTTTATCTCTTAAAAAGTGCAGTATACTTTTTTATTCATAAATAAGATGTCGAATATGTAAAAATTGAAATTTAGTGTTAGATATGTAAATACATAAGAATTAATTAATTACATCAAAATCAAAATAATAAGTGATTCATTAATTACATCAAAATGTGACTTATCATTTTAAGGACCTCTAAGAGAAACTTGCAATAGATAAAATAAGTGCAGAAGAGAAAATTATACGCTCGGATGTTCGGACGACGCATGTAATATTTTATAAGGCCATTGCGAGCGTCACAAGACTAAAACTAGGGCCACAATTGCAATATATTATTTTAGATTTGTTAACAATATATTAGCGCTAAGTTTCATTCTTTTATAACATTCATATACACATCTTTTACACAAATGCGTCTATGTTTCGCTCTTTGTGAAGTCATTAGCTCTGCATCTTATTGTTTTCTTTTCTTTGAAAACTAGCTCTTACTTCATAGATATGTTGCCTAACTCATTCTTTGCTCAGTAAGAAAATAACTTATGATGGTCTATATTCTATATTGCTCAATATTATTTTAACCATGAATATGAATGAACCATTCAATCAGCTACTTCAGAGAATACAATATTTTTAAAAATATTAATGGATTAATTGTTTTACAATTTTAAGTTTAATGGGGCAATGAAGATAACAGGGAAGGAGAAAGGGGGAAGCAAATGGAGCTAGTTACGAGGGTCGGAAGAACGGGAAGAAGGCGGTATCGTTCGACCGTCGATAAGGCTACGGGCTAACTAGATGGAGGCTTCATTCGGTGCCTAAGATGAAAGAGGTTTTTTGGGTTTGGGTGCCAAGGAGAACAAAATAGAGCATATTGGGGGCGAGCTGACTGGCGCTTAGGCGCTAGGCTTTGGGTGCCAAGGCGCTCCACCCAAGCGTCTTGACGCAAGCTTACTGGTGCTAAGGCACCAATACCTACCTAAGAAAACTGAGAGGTTGGCGACTAGGCGTCAGCCCTGTCCAGTTTCTGGGTATCTTTCTGTAGTTATCTCAACACGACTTGGAGAGTTATGTGGTGGATTAAAGCAATTTGAGAGAGCACTTAAGAGCATTCTGAAGGCTTGGGAAGTAAAGGAAGGCAGAAGAGTCATAGTGTAAAGTTAGGGTTTTGTATTTTCCACTTTCTTAGAGTGATTGGGGAGGAATTGGAGAGAATATATACTCAACATTGGAGGGAGCATTTGGAAACCTTTTGACAATGAATTTTCATCTCTTTTCTCAGAAAAAAAAAGCTAAGCATTATGTTCTATATTATATTGTACTTCTTGTAAACACAATTCTAGTGGATTTACTTTGTTATAAGATGGTGATTTGTGGTGTTCTCTTCATGCACTGTGAGTAAATTATTCTTACCTTTCTCTTGTGATGAATAATTTGAATGTGTGGGATGTTAGAATACTATAGAATTGATCTTTAACTTGTGATGAGTATTCTTCAAAATTTAATTTACTTTTCATATTGGCCATATGAATTGTTAAAATTTAACCATTATGACTCGGGGAAGAGCGATGAGAAACGATTAGAGTATTCACGTTGAATTATATGTTATGAAGCAAAAGTAAAATATAGGTAGATGCAAATAGATAGGGAAATAGTATTTGATGGGTTTAAATTGGGGTTTAAGGAATCAAATACAGTTTAACCAAACTACTTTATGAACTCGGGAGAGGGTAAAGTAGATAATTGCTCCTATTTGTCACTAGCCACATTTGCAATTTGAAGTATCGATTCCTACATAATCACTTATATTATCACAAGAGAGGGATCCCTTTTATAACTTGATAATCATCAATCCAATTAAGTTAGTTAGGTTTTAACATTAGAATTAATTGAAGTAGTTGGTAGAACTTTAACCTAATTATATTTGCAAACTAAGACCTAAAAGTAGTATACAAGAATTTTCTTAAAGGATTCATTACTCGTGCTTTTTGGGATTGACAATCCAGACTCAATAGAGTCATATATTACTGAAATGATATGTATACTTGCATGAGAAACCCCAGTGTGCAAGAACACCTAATTTTAAGAACTAAATCAAGTTGCTAGGGAGCAGATCCAGTTTCTGGTGTATTACCAAGATTTACATTATTGTGATAATAGTTGGGGTTGTATCAAGCTCCGTGAGGGTGTATAATAATTTTCTTCGGCCCTTGAGATGATTCGCCACCCGACAACGATAAGCTTCCTGAGGGGTGATGGGTGAATCATTTTGGGGGTCATTCAACGACGAATCGATTATAGTGGATGGCGCCAAAGATTTTAGAACCGAGCCCAAAGAGTGCCTGACAGGGAGTGTCACTAGCAATTCATGCACTCATGATTTATTTGATTTATAAATTTCCTGATCCTTATCACAACTGCCATTATGAAGGAGCAAGAAAATTGAGGAACTTAACAAACATACTTAACAATGGTTTGCATAGATCTTGAGATAATCTAACAGTCGGGATTAGGGGACTAGAATGTCTTTGGCTTCTCTCTTTAATATAAGAATAAAAATGTAATTTTTATATTTAGGATTTCTTATCTTTTATAAATAAGAGGGTTATGACAAGTATTTAGAGGTTTTTTGGGTTCCCCCACTTGTAATCTCTATTTTTGTGGAATAAGATGAGTCTGAGAGCCTGTGAACACTCTATTCGCCTTGACTGGGCAAGTCCTCCTCTTTGCCTTCTCTCTCTCTTTATTTTTCCATCAATCTTCATTCCTTGGCCCCAACACTCTATCTCTTGGGTGCGGTTTACCATACAGGCTTGTATTCAACGCCACTATTACCTACTTTTAAAAAGTTGAATACATATTCTCATTAATAATTTTATCACACTAAAATGTTAAAAGTGTAAATGTGAAAGTTTAGATATTAAATATATTAATATAAAAGAACTGTGTGGAATTTTAAAAGGATTAATACTCATAATTAGTTGACGTGGTATTTCTTAAACTCGATTTAGCTAATTATAATTAATTAATCCTTAATCTTAGTTTTTGCTAGATAAGTATAAATAGTCTTATCTCTGGTATATATATATATACCTCCGTATTGAGCTGCAGACTTAAGCGAAATAATTCTAAAACTCTAATTGCTTTTCCTCTCTCGATTACATTTTCTTCCTCTTCTTTCTTCTTGATTCTTTTGCCTATAATTTCTTCAATTAATTCTAAGAGCTACTTCATGTCATGGTATCAAAGCAATTTGCCTCACGACCTTCTTTCATTTCTCATTTCGTAGCTTAATTGCGTCGCTTTAGGATTTTTTATGCCTTTCAATTTCAGTTTGCTATCCAAGATTGGTTGTCACTCACATTCCTGACA